CTTGAGCCATTTGGCCAACACCTCCGATCTCCATTATTCCCTCCTTCCTCGAAAGGATTCGTCCTCGAATCACCTACATCAAACAAAGATAAATCAACAACATTAAAAGTCACACTAACATTACCATAGTTGGTTGGCAAATCTAGCTTATAGGCGTTATCATTGATTCTTTCCAAGACTTGAAAAGGTCAATCTCCTCTAGGCTACAATTTTGATTTCCTTTGTGTAGGAAACCTCTCCTTACGCATGTGCACCCAAACCCAATCTCTAGGTTCAAAAACAACCTTCAAACGCCCCTTATTAGCTTGCTTAGCGTATTGCTCATTCTTCCTTTCAATGTTAGCCCGAACCTTGGCATGTAAATCCTTCACAAAARCTGCCTTTTTCTKACCATCAAGATTAGCATGTTCATTAGTAGGCAAAGGTAAAATCTCCACAGGAATTAAAGGATTAGAGCCATAAACAACTTCAAAAGGTGAAAAAGAARTAGTAGAATGAACARACTRGTTATATGCAAACTCAATATGTGGCAAACACTTCTCCTACTGCCTTAAGTTCTTTTGAATGATAGCATGCAACAAAGTAGTGAGTGTCCTATTAACTACTTCAGTTTGACCATCCGTTTGAGGATGTGCAATAGTAGAAAACATGAGTTTAGTTCCTAATTTATTCCATAAAGTGCGCAAAAAATGATTTAAGAACTTAACATCTCTATCACTAACAATTGTCTTAGGCATACCATGCAAACGAACAACTTCTTTAAAGAACAAGTCAGCAATATGTGTTGCATCATTGGTTTTAGAACAGGCAATGAAATGAGCCATTTTACTAAACCGATCAACAACAACAAATATGCTGTCCTTACCACTTTGAGACCTTGGTAACCCTAAAACAAAATCCATAGAAACATCAATCCAGGGTTGGTTAGGCACTGGTAAAGGGGTATACAAGCCATGCGGTTTAACTTTAGATTTTGTTTGCCTACACGTAATGCATTTATCACAAACATATTGTACATCATGCTTCATATTAGGCCAATAAAAATGCTCACGCAATATATCTAAAGCCTTTTGTACACCAAAGTGCTCCATCAAGCCGCCTCCATGAGTTTCTCTAACAAGCAACTCACGAATAGAACAAATAGGCACACACGATTTATCTTTCTTAAAAAGAAATCCTTCATGCCTATAGTAATCACTAAACGCACACTTATAACATGCATTCCATACTTGGCCGAAATCAGAATCATTAACATACAAGTCCTTAAGCAATTCAAAACCAAGTAACTTAGTTTGTAAAGATGTAAGTAATGCGTAGCTCCTAGATAATGCATCAACAACAACATTTTCCTTTCCATGTTTGTACCTGATCACATAAGGAAACGTTTCTATGAACTCTAGCCACTTAGCATACCTTTTATTAAGCTTACCTTGGGATTTCAAGAACTTTAAGCTCTCATGATCAGAATGAATGATGAATTTCCTTGGCCACAAGTAATGCTGCCATGTTTGAAGAGTCCTCACTAACGCATAAAGTTCCTTGTAATAAGTAGGATAATTCAAGGCTGCCCTACTTAGCTTTTCACTAAAATAAGCAATTGGTTTGGAATCTTGCATCAAAACAACCCCTATTCCAATTCCAGATGCATCACATTCTATCTCAAAAGCTTTATCAAAGTTAAGCAAACACAACAAAGGTGCATTAGTTAGTTTATTTTTCAAAGTTTCGAAAGCTCGATCATGCACTTCATCCCACTTAAAAACAACATTCTTTTTAACAAGTTCATTCAAAGGTGCAACAATAGAACTAAAATCCTTAACAAACCTTCGATAAAAACTTGTTAAACCATGAAAACTTCTTACTTTGTNTCTCCTTGAAACAGCAAGATCCCTAATGCATCACATGCACGGTCCCAAACCTTTTTGGAGTGATGCAGTGCTTACCTCTTGTTTTCTGATTAATCGGATGCCCACGTTCATCCTTGATGGTCAGTCTCCGTTTCAGGTCTTGTTTCCCACTTTGTCTCCATTTCTTCTTACGCTGAGAGTTTTTGGGTGTGTGTTTTGTCCACTGGGTCCCGGGAACGACAAGTTTGATGCTCGTTCTCTCAAGTGCATCTTCCTTGGCTATTCTCCGACCCAGAAAGGGTATAGGTGTTACCATTCTGGTTCTCAACGGTCATTTGTGTGTGCTGATGTCAGTTTCTTTGAGTCTACTCCGTTCTTTCTGGGGACTGGTGATGCTTCTTCCTCCTCATCACCTCCTCCTCTTCCACTTCCCGTTGTCGATCCTTATGTCCAACAGAAAACTGATCTCTGATGAAATGACAGTCAACTCTATATGCTTGGTTTGAATGGGGTTGGAGGTGATCTTGATGGTATTGACATTGTCTGCATAAATAGGATTTGGTGAGAGACCAAGGTCATCGAGGAAGGCCCTGAGACATAATCTGACAACATATGGAGGACATAGCTCTATACTCAGCCTTAATAGAAGATTTGGAAACAATCTGCTGCTTCTTACATTTCCAAGATATGAGAGAGTCTCCAAGAATGACACACCAGCAAGTAGTAGAGCGTGGAGTGTCTGGGCATCCTGCCCAATCAGCATCTGCATAAGTTGATAGGCTAAGAGATGTGGATGTAGGAAACATTTATCCGTGTGACGGTTCAACGAACATATCTGATAATACATAGAACTACAGTCATGCGGGGTTGCTGAGGAGAAGAAACAAATTGATTGACTACTTGGACAACATAAGAAATATCTAGGTGTGTCATGGTGAAGTAGACAAGACTACCAACAAGCTGTCGATAAAGAGTAGGATCAGCAAGAATATCCCCATCATCCTTGGAAAGCTTTTAAATTCATCTCAAGGGGAGTATCAACATGTTTGTCATCACTCAGATTGGCAGATTTCACAAGGTCCATTGCATATTTGTGTTGATTAACAAAATGCCCACGAGTAGAATGAGTGACTTCCAGCTCTCCTTTTCTCCTTTTCCTCATTATGACCAACCTCTTTCAAGCTCTTGTCACTCATCTGAATCAACTCTATCCCTTTGCCCTCATTTTCTCCTTCAGCCCCTGCCTCCTTCCTAGCCCAATCCTTCCCGGAACTCACTTCTACATAGCCCTCTCTAACTCTGCACTCCTCAAGATCAAAACAAATCAGCCTCCAAATTCTTTCTATCTCCTCCCTACCTTTTCTAACATCGGATTCAGCCTTTTCTTTTCTTTCCTCTATAGGACCTTCCTTTCCACCCTCTAACTTGTCACCGCCCTCTGCCCAAAGGTCATTACCATAAAAAGGATCAACATAAAGGTCATTACCATAAAATGGCTCAACATAAAGGTCATTACCATAAAAAGGGACACACATACCTGACTGAAGAGAAAACAAGGTAGGACTAGAAGGGCTTTGGGGTTGGGACTTCATAGCTGAGGCCGAGGAGTTCCCCCTAGTTGGAAATTGCAGTGAAGTGGTTGGGTTAGTGATAAGAACCCACTAAACGACCTGCTCTAGGAACTCTTGAATCAAGTTGTTATGCGCACCCATAAGCTAGAAAACAAGTTGTAGTTGATCAGATTAGAACCTTAAGGAAACTAAGTCCTTAAAGAATCCAATCTTGAAGACGCCACAAAGGTTGATCACTCCCTTGATAAGTCAAGATATTGTATTCTACCAAGAACACAAGAAGGCAAAGCTAAGCTTGCTGAAAATACCTCTATATTATTGATGATCTCGTTTTACATAGTTGTAGCCTTTATATAGGCATGTAAACATTCTTATAAGGAAACTCCTAACTAATGAGAATCCCTTTTAGGAAAACAAATATGCCTTGATATAGGAATCCTTCTAAAAGACTACAACTAATGACAATTAAGTATAGAAAAGTCAAAGTAAAACAAAACAAGACAAAAACAAGCCCATCAATACATCTTAGCATGCGGATTGGGCCTTTTCTTATCATGTCCATGCGCCAAGCCCATCAATACATCTTAACATGCGGATCAGGCCTTTTCTTATCATGTCCATGTGCCTTGGTCTTATGTCATGGATTCCAAGCTTTGTTCTTCAAGATCTAAGCCTTGCACATCATAAAGATAAGTGATTATCCTTGGTGAAGCTTTGAAAACTTTTAGAACAGTCTTAGAATCTTCTAGAACAACCTCTTTGTCATGCACTTCCATGATTAAGTCTTGTAAAGCATCTTTTATCCTCTTTGTCCTTGCCCTAGTCATTGGACCACCGATTCCTTGCAAAGGATCTTGAGAATATTTAGGAATATTAGCTTGAGCCATTAGGCCAGCACCTCGATCTCCATTAGTTAGATTGGCATCTCCTTTTCTAGGAAACATTTTTTTTTTCAAATATCTCTGACATTTTGCCAATATGTCGGCAATATTTCAGATTTCAATGATAGACTTTAAAATTTTAGAATATTTTTAAAATTTTTTGATATTTCATTAAAATCATCATAATATTTTAAAAGTATTTTTCTGAAAGAACCAACAGAGAATTTGTGATTGGAAAATTGACTTACTATTTTCACATGATTGACTTACTATGTCATTATAATTCAAAAGAAAAAAAATGCACATAACTACAAAAGAGTGTTCTCAATCTAATCAAAACATATAGTAACAAAAAGAAAAAAGTCAAAATGGCAAGTAATAGACATTTAATTAAGAGAAGATGACTAAAAGGCTAAAAGGGAGATAGAAGGATACTTGTTAAAGTCTCTTAATTTTCTCCTATTTGATTTGTATAGTTCTTTGATCCTTAAATATGCAATTACATTTGTTCCAATGATTCCTTAAGGGTTTTTTAACCGATTCTATGTTTCTAGAAACTTTCTTGATTTTTTAGATTTTCTAAATATCTTAGTGAACTTAGTGAAATATCTCTGAGATATCTCCATCTTTACATGGCTAACTAACCATCGACATTGAAATTATGAACCATGAGTTCTTCCCTTTATCTTTCTCTGCTGCAGCTCCAAAAGATTAATGATGAACAGAAGAACAGAATTCGCAAGACTGAACGTGCCCTTCGTGCAGCCGAGGTATTTTAGTAATTTTGGTGTCTGCTGTGTTTCTTATTTTTCTAAAGCTAGGTGATGATGAAAGTTTAATATACTTTTCATGTCTACAGGAAGCAGCGATGAATGCAAAGTCAGAAGCTACTTCAAAGACTAAAGAGTTGATGGAGGTAAGAACAAAGTGCAGATTTTTTAATTTTATTCATGGTCGAAATTTTCTGTTATGTGCTGCTGTATACAGATGAGAAAAGAAGAGGAAGAGGAAGAAGAAGAGAGTGCAAGAGAGAAATAGAGGGAAAAAGGTTGAGGGGAATATAATAGCTCCCTACCAGTCAATAGCCTCTATAGGTTTTAGAATACAAATAAAAGGACTGTGCTGCCCATAATAAAATAGAACTTCAATAATTCTTATATTATAATATTAGGTAATGAAGTGGTACTGAATAGAACAGAATAGCGGAAAGGGATTCATGTAGCCCCATATAGTTGAGACAAGGATTTGATGATGATGATGATGATGGTGATGATGATGAGACCAAGATACCCCCTCATGCCTCTTAACAATTGTAGCTAGTGAACCCATGCATTGAAGTGAACCCCAGAAAATCAGGAACTGGATATTAGTAGGATTGAACTCATCCTGTATTGGATTTGCATAAAATTGGTTAAACCTAATCAAAGTTGAGCGTACTGGATAGTTTTGTGTGAAATCTGGTGTTTTCTAAAAATGACAGGTTTGCATGGCTTAGAAGGCTGTACATGTGTATCTGTAGTCTGTGATTTGAAATCCATCAGATTCTCTCTCTCACTCTCTCTCTCTCTCTCTCTCACACACACACACACATATGCACACAAACAGGCATGTGCTACCAGTGAATGCCACTTTCTTTTCTCTTTGTTATACTTTTGTAGTGATTGGCAAATGGCATTTTGTCATAGTTGTAGCTGGTGCATTATTCTGTTTTGCATTTAATTTAACTCCTGGTTGAATGCCAATTAAAATAGACTTCTTAGTATCTGTTGTGTGACTAAATAGTTGGTCATTATCATGATCAGGTTCATGGTGCATGGCTTCCACCTTGGCTTGCAAGTCATTTACTTCATTTCCAGGTAAAATGATGCTGAATCTGGTGCCTACATATATGGCAAGGCCTCTCTTGTGTCCTCATATAAAAGAAGAAAAAAAATGATGGCATTTTTTTCGGGCTTTCTTTTCTCTCAACTTGCAGTCCGTTTTGTTGAAAGAGTGGGATGAGCATGGGAGACCTTTCCTGCATATTGCATCACAAAAGGTTGTATTCTCTTATCTATCAATTTTTATTTGTTTTGGTGTCAGATATGGTTTATGAATATCGTTGAGCATTTGCCAGATGAATTTGTCTGTTTTACAATGAATCAACTGATTAGCTTTGCATTTCCATATTGTTTCAGGCATTAGAGATAAAAGCTCAAGCTCAGAACTGGGCTGAACCTCACATTGAGACAGCTAGAACTGTAAGTTGTATCAACAGGCATTCTGTGTTCCACAACCTTTTGCTATTAAATTACATTAATTAATGGGTTTTTCTTTATGGGGTTACTTTAAGATTGGTTACTTAGCCGAGTCTTGAGAGATGAATCACATGTCTTTTGGTTTCTTCGGTATCCTCATCCTGGTTTTATATGAACATAAGATTAGTAATTAGTTAATTAGCTGACCAACATGTCTCTGCCTTTCAATTTCTTTTTTCTTTTGGAGAAAAGGTAAAGTTTTGTACTAAACCAAAATCTTCAGAAAATATACATCATATAGTTCATGTACAGTGTGGAACTACACAAGAGGATCTATCCTTTATGGTACCCCTGGATGGGGCTACAAAATACAAGAGTTAATTCAAAATAAGCATGGCAAGGATTCATGTGCTCCCAGCCAAGAGTGATGGGAGGCTATCACCCATTGCAGCACCTTCTCTTTGAGATGGGCCTTGTTGTCAAGCACTCTGAGTCTCCTCTCCTTCCAAACGTTCCATGCTGTTTCTAAAGGGATGATACTCTACATTTTGCCCCCCTTAAACTTCTAAGCTTTTAACATTTGTGCTAAAGATCTAGGGTGGTATCATCTGAGGTTTATTGATCCACAAAAATGATCAAAAAAAGATGCCACAAGAGGGCAGTGCAATAAGATGTCGTCAAGGTTATTTATAAAAAAAAAAAAAAAAGAGGTCAAGGTTTCCCTTTCCTCTGTGAAGAGCACACGTGGTGGATGGGATATTAACAACTCTCCTCTCTAAAACATCTCTAGTTAGGCATCTACCTGTTGTTGCAGCCCATGCCATGAAACACACTTTTGAAGGAGCATGCAACATCCATATTTCTTTATATGGAAAATTTTCCTCCATGGAGGGATTGAACATGTAGAAGAGGGACATATCCAACTTATCCCTTTTATAAACTCTTTAATCATCTTTATCTGGTTGAGGAGACATGAATTCAGCTTCTGCAATCTACTGGTTAGCTCTTGTAGTTTCCAATCATTCATATGTCTTGTGAAAGTTGCACTTTAGGTCACTTTTCCCTTCTCACTTCATATTAGTCAATCACTCTCACCCTTCTGTTTTCTGCTATGAGCAATAGAGGAAGAAAGTTATCCATTAATATGGCACACTGATATTTTTCTATATGACATTTTGGAATCTAGGATGGCCATTTACTGCTTCTTGGGGAGCTTCTATGGGAATTCTATCTATATGGCATACTGATATCTATGAATGTGTGGAAGAATTGGTGTCAGTTTTTAGTGTCAATTAAATTGCAGAATTGTGTAACTGGTTTTTGGTGGGTGATAGTGAACGTTATGGTCTCACCACTTATAGAGATAGAAGGGAACTATGGAAAGAATTGTTCGCAATTAGAGGGTTGTGGGATGGATCATGGTGTGTTAGGGGGATTTTAATGCTATAAGATTCACATCAGAATTCAATAATCCTCAACAAAGAACAATGGCTAGTATGAGGAGTTTCAACAGTTTCATTAATGGTTGTGAGCTTAAATAGACAACTCTTCTCCATAGTTCCTTTACATGGACAAATTTCCAAGCTAATCTGGATAGGTTCCTATTTTCAGCTATTTGGGACTTGGGAGGAGCATTAACTGAATATACGTGTTGGGTTTGTTAGAAGCTTTTTTTTTTATTATTTACGTAAGTGGTGGCTGTTATTAGTTGTATTTTCTTTTTATTTCTTTTGTTACTTAAGAAGGGCTAATATTGTAAGTTTACTTTTATTATAATCTTAATAAAAGAAGGTGGCAGTGCAGATCAGTTAAGTTCAATTTCTCTGCTCTTCATCCCTAGTTTTTTTCTCCTCTCTTCTCTTCTTCTCTCCTATTCCAGCTAAGTTCTGAACTGTTTTATTTTATTTTTCCTCATTGTTTAAGACTGTTTTTAGGTCTGATCACATTCTATTGGAGCACCATTTATTGACCTGATCAGTCCTAGATGCCTGACAGTCCTTTACATATAGAAAACTCTCTCAACACTTAAAAGGAAGGAAAGAGGAGAGAAAAGGAGTGATCGCCCTCTAAGGAAGGAGGTTTCCATCCCTCCAGCTGCAGTGGTTTGTCGGTTCTTAGTGGTTTTCTAGACTCCCTCTATTTGGTGATTTGAAGAGGGACTGTTTGTAGATGTTACAGGTTAGTTTCTTGTATTCTTGATTTTTCTAGTGGATAATCACGCTTGGGTGTTGTGGTCTGATGAGATAATCGAGTCATATTCATGTCACTGAGATCAACTAGTGTTTTTGAGAAGGTTTTTTCAATTTTCTCGAGTTGTGGATATCAGAGTTTGGTGTTCTAGGCGTTGGAGTTTGCTGTTTAGCATTTTCTTGTGTTGGTGTGATTGGGTTTTTGGTGGATTTACTGGAAAACATATCAAAATTATTTTCTGCATTATGGCATTGTTGAGAAGAGAAGTTGGTCTAGTGGGGTGATACAACCAGATTTTATGGCTGTCTAGATGACCTCAATTAAGCTTAAAGGTGCGAATTACATAATTTGGGCAAAACCTGTAAATCTGACTACCAGGGGTAAATTGAAATGCACTTAACCAGTCCTAATCAACACGCTCTTCACTTTTCCTGCTTCGATTGTACCTTGGGTTTGGTTTATCTAGACTGGTAGGATAAGAGACAAGTCTCAGTGCCCATGCGTAAGCCTTCTCAGAACTCTTTATCTCCTTTGAAATAGTCTTCACTGGCTGCGACTTAAATGCTCTTAAATTTAATCATACTTGGGATCCCAGTCCTCTCCTTCTTGGGAAGAAGGCAGTAGGTTGTTAGTGGGTTTACATAGTTAAGCACTGGCTTGATGGTAGTGTGGAAAGGTAGGGAACTAGTGGGTTTACATAGTTAAGCACTGGCTTGATGGTTGTTAGTGGGTTTACATAGTTGGTAGCAAATGGATAATACCCAAATATATGACATTGATTAAATTGATACTTTCTCTTCCTTTACTAAATTGGGGTATGTGTTATTATTTCTTTTGCCCTTTGTTTTACCTAAATGTGAAGAATGTCTTCTTCCATGGTGATATTTAGGAGGAAGTGTATATGGAGCAGCCTCTTGAGTAATGTTGCTCAAGGGAAGGTAGGGAAGCAATGCAAGTAAAAGACAGTGGTAGAGAAAATGAATCTTGTGCTCCCAAAGGAGATTGGTATGACCTCAGAGGATGAAAGGATGGTACCATGAGAGAGATCTATGTAAATTCGAGCAAAGGTGCTTTAGAGAGGGTGCGCTGGTTAGAGAAGTGCTTGGTAGGGTGATTTGTTAATGTTGAACCTGATGAAGGGGAAGTCTTGAGATGGGTCAAATCGGAGTGGAGTTCAAAAGGAGACATCCAGGTGAGAAAGTTAAATGTAGGTTTCTTTCTCTTCTTCTTCCGTAGCAAGGAGGAGGCATATGAACTTCTGAGTAGAGAAACATCAAAGTTCAGGTCACCGGAGCTTAGGTTGGGTAGATGGAATCCGCTAGTGGGGGCAATTAGAGAAGTGGGTAGCAAGATTCTTATCTGGATTAATGTCCTAGGGATTCCGCTCCATAGAACATACATCTTATCCCCCTGAGTATGGCGTTAAACTTTAATGGAGAGTGGTATGATTTGAGGTTGGTTATTGAAGGTTGCATCTCGTTTCATTGGATTCAAGAGGATTCAATGGCCTTGCCTGATCGAATCCAGGAGTTAGATTACCCTGCAAAGGATATTAGGATGCTGGTTGAACTTGAGAACGCAAGTCGGGAGGAGGAAGACAATGGAAAGCAAAAGGTCGGGGAGTTGGAAGGACAAGAAGAAGAGAGAGGGGAGATGCCGGAAAAGCGGGGGTGGTAAAAGGTAGTTTTGCAAATGGGAACTGAAGGGCCCTTTTTTGCAAAGGAACACATAGTGGGAGTCTTTGAACAGGGGATCATTTCCGAGAAAGATTTTAGCTCCTCAAGAAAGGACCTTGGAGGAGATGCACCCTCCACATAGAGTTTTTCTCGAAAAGGGACACTTGGAGGTTGATGGGCTTGAATCAGTAGGACATTGTTTCAAAAGGGGGTAGGGGTGATTAGAAGGGGAACAAAATTGTCACCAGCCAGTGATAGGAGCGAGGCGTAAAATGAGTTTATCGCTGAAACAGGATAGCGGTAAACTTTAAAAGAGGGGTGAGAATCAAGAGAAGGGCTAACAAGAGGGGTAAAATCGAAAGAACATTCTCTTTGAAGAAAACGAATTTCGACTGCTTGAATTCTAGGAAACAAGTATGCAGAGGGGATAAGGAAGGAGTAAAAAGAAATTGGATTTGGGTGGTGACCAAATATAAGAATGGAAGAAAGATTAAGATCTTGGGAGGAGAGAAAGACAAAAGAATAGTGATAAGCTCGACAACGGAAGGAGATTTGCAGAGAACTGACATAGAAGAGAAGATCTTGGATGGAGAGAGAAATAAAGAAGCAGAAGCCCGGAAAATCCGAAAAAGATAGTTCCAACAAGCTGAAAGAAGGGGATTCTGACTCTAACTCGAAGGCAAAAAGCAATAAAGATGAATTCTCTCAAGAAGCCGACAAAGAAGAGTTGGGGTCTTGGGGGAGGTTGTATGTTCAGAAAGGAAAGAGGTCTTTGGTCAACCAAGTTTTAAGCTCTACAAAGAATATAGTAGAGGCAATAGAAGGAAGAAAAGAAAGAATATTTGCGCAATCTGATCCAAGCAACATGGTGTCTTCACACGAACTTGAGGAGGTGAGTCAGTCTAGCTCGCAGAGCATTCTGACGCTGGAAACTCCAAACAATGGTGTAGGGGAAGAAGGAAAAGGAATAGAAGAAGAGATAGGAGAGAAAATAACAGAAAAGGGAAGACTAAGAGAGGAGGAGGGAGGGGGTGGAGTACGGAATCGGGTTTCCAATAGAAAAAGAAGGCTTATAGGCACTACTCAGCATAGTTTTCAAGGCGCCAAGGTGAGGCTAGGCGACAAGGGGGCGCCTTG